AGACCGCCCAATTGCTCTGGCGGTCTTTTTAGTAGCCCTGAGAGAAAGATCGGTAGCCCGACGAAGTTCTCGAATATCGTCATGACTAACTCCCTCACTATTATCCAGATCCCCCAGCAGGTCAGCTTGATAAGCCTGAAGCACTGCCATAGTATGCAGACGTGGCTTTGAGCGGTCTAGTGGGCAAAGCCGAGGCTTTCAGAGATGATGCGGGACCAGGGGAGAGATAGCTAGCTAAATTCTGTTCCGCCTGGGGCATCGCCTCATAACCATACTCTTTCAGCCCTCTAATTTTTGAATAAATTTTAACTTGAGGGCTGAAAAGACGTGATGAGTATGGCTTATTCCATGATTTAGAAATCTCATTGTGAAGATCAGGAAAAAATGGAAGCCCTCGTGGTGGAGATGAAGCAGTAGAAGATAAAAAGCGCTCATCTAATTTACTCTTAGGACGAGCGCCCCTCTTATCAGATGGCCATTCAATCTTTAATTTATCTACAGCCCGCGACATAACATCCACCAGCTCATCATATGCTGGGGAAATAAATTGTGAATCTCTTTCCCCCATGTGTGTGCTTTCACTCTCCAAACTCATCGCATCGACCTCCTCGGAGGAAGAGCAATGAAGTAATGGAGGGCTCTCTCCCCGGGCGGAAGAAACCGCAGAGCGTGCTTCCGACACCGGGGGGAGAGCGCTGGATCTCTCGGGTAAGGAAGGAGAAAGAGCCCTCGGACCCGTCTCCAACCCCTCCGAAAGTTCCTTTTGCGATCCCCAGGAATGCATTCTCCGCGCTGCCTCAGCAGACGCGGGTCCTGATCCCTGCGGATCGCGAGCCTGCCCACTCTCTTTATCAAAGAGTGACAGGCGAGAGCGGAGCATGCGAAGCGGTAACATCTCACAATGCTGGCACTCAGCCCCCTCGAAGGCTGAGACCGCATGCTCCACTCCCAAACAAATGACACAAAGCTCGTGTGTGTCCGCACCCGTTAAATAACGCGGGCAGGGAGAAGCACACTGTTTGTACACTTGTTTAGTTTCCATCCTTTTCCGCAACAGACAACAGTAAATAGACAGAGACAAAATGACACAGATCACTTGCTGAGACACAGAAGCTAATGCCGCGTTTCACCGGATGTGCTCTTATGCCTTCCTGGTCATGACGTCACCCGCCCGTGACGCTCATTCTTTCCATTGGACTAGTTGACATTGATGCTCAGACGCATTCACGCTGGGGGCGTTCCCAAAGCGTCAAGTGACGCATCGCGAGTTCCCTCGAAAGGGAACTAAAAAGCTCTTAAACCTATTGATGCGCCGGTGCAAGTCATGCAGATTTGACCATAAAAATCAAGTGCAAATACAAATACAAATGAGTAAAGAAAACGGGGTATTTAATAATCACCCTTTATTTAAACATATGAAAACAGAAACCCGCTGTTAACAGGTTAATGTCACATTTCCCATTTCATGACTAGTAAAATAATCGCAATTTACTCTCTGTAAAATAGCGTAATCCGCAGGGTGATGGACACGGATATGGGTAAAAAGGTTGGTGGTACACATTCTGCAGATTGGGCTTAAGGGGGTCGCACACCGGACGAGAAGCGTAGCTCCGCACCGCGTCGCGTGTAGCACACTGGACGCACACTTTCTCAGTTCATGGCCAGCAATATTGTTATGTTTAAGGACATTATGAAATTAAGATAATGGGCCCTATTTTAACGATCTGAAACGCAAGTGTCAAAGCTCAAAGCGCAAGTAACTTTGTGGGCGGATCCCGGCGCTGTTGCTATTTTCCTGGCGGGATAAATGCCTCTTGCGCCTGGCGCAAATCTAAAAGGGGTTGGTCTGAAGTAGCTTCATTATTCATAGGTGTGGTTTGGGCGTAACGTGAAATAAACCAATCAGAGCGTCATATCACATTCCCTTTAAGAGCAGGTGCGCATGTTGCATGGCGGATTGCTATTATAACGGCGGATTTACCAGGCGCGCGCCAGGAGCGGTTCATAGTCGAGGAGACCGACGTTCTTGTCAGGACCGTGAAAGACAGAGAAGTGACGTTGTATGGGGATGGGAGAAACCCACCCAAATCAGTGTCGCTTAAACAGGCGTGGGAGGAAAAAAACGAAAACATTTTTTACATCTTCATGGACACCACAATGATTTCCCTCATGTGTTAATATTTTTATTTGTTATAATGTATGATTTGCAAAAATAAAAACTGCTGCATCTGTGTTGATGAGAGAATCAAAGTGTATGCGCGTTACATTATGGCCAAGCATGCGCGCTTAAAATAGCATTATGAACAACGCGCAACGCGCCACTGACTTTAGACTAGGTTTTTTCTGGTCAGGGGCGCAATTGTTTTCTGGAACTGCAAAATAGCACTAGGGAATGTTTGCGCCGAAACACGCCTCCTTTTTGCGCCGACCCGCCCAGGGAGCACAAGTTAATTTCCTAGTTTACCGACGTGCGTCTGTGGAGGGAAAAGCTCGCTTTGCGCGGGTGCAAAATACGAATGATACATGCGTCGGTGTACAAAGTCAATTGCGCTGAGTGCAAGATAGGGCCCAATGTCTGTACTATGATATGATTGTGCTGTACAATTAAATACAATCGTTGCTAAGTCTGCAGTCTGAACACTTTACCTCAGTCTGAGCGCATCCGTTAACTGAATGAATTGAGAATCTCACCTGAAAATCCGAGCCATTGCTGGCACCGCGGACAGACGAATAGTGCTGTCGGTGTGTGTAAACTCGAAAATAAATAGAAAATAATGTGTTTGAATTTTAAAGACGTGGCGCTGCGCTTCTCGTCCGGTGTGCGACCCCCTTTAAGGTGCTGTTTTCTTTGAAGCCGAAGAACTCCCATACTGGCAAGCTTAATAGGTTGGTTTCACGTGACGTCACGCTGCTGCATCGCGAGAGCGCGAAAATTCAGATTGAGGGCAGGAAGTGAAATAGCTGAGGATCTGCCATCAATGTTTTGTGTAGTTTACGACGGCTCCAATCGTTCTAATCGAGAAAAGGGAAAGGGTTTTTATAGAGTACCAAAGATTGTCATTCATAAAGGTGAGAAATGTAAAAAGCTCACAGAACAACGCCGTAAAAAGTGGATTTTTAACGTAACGTTACGTCTGCGGTTTGGGAGGAGCAGAGTCTGTTAATGCCGTGTCTCTGCAGCGACGGTATGTTAGCTAGCCAACATGCCAACAGTTTTTTTTTTTTTGTCTGTGTTTATATAGCATTAGGTTGTCGTTCAGCGGATCAGTGGGAATGGGACATTAAATGATCAAGGTAAATTAGACTCAATACGGACTCTCCGCAACGGTTTCCTCCATAGACGTATTCTCCATGTTTACTTCCTGCCCTCCATCTGAAATCGCCCCGCCTTCCCGCGTCATCATAATCGTCATCATAATCACGTGACTGAAACCCAGCTATTTTCTCGGGTGTTTCACGCTCTCGCTCAGACGACATTCTTCTCAGAGTGGCTGCGCGGGCGCGCGCTGCGTCTTATTCTTATTTGATAGATGTCAGCGGGTGCAATACTGCCACCTGAGAGGTCAACCAGATACTGGCGCTGGAGTATTTACGTGTCATGTTATCATTAAAGTCCTATTCATTTTAAACATCGCCAATACCGGTATATTGTCACACTCAAAATTAACACAATGTCGATATTTCATGCTTTGAATATCACGATTATCGTCGATACCGGTATATTGCGACACCCCTAAGCGAAGCAAACAGATAACAAATTGTTCGTCACTACAGCAACAGTAGACCGACCACACTGGTGAACGTGATTTCACCAAGTACCACATGTTCCAGGATCAACATCTTTGTTGATCCTGGATCAACTTTCCAATCAACCAATCAGATTTGAGAGACATGTTTACAGTTTATGTCAAGTTTAGGCTTAGAACCAGGGTGAAGTACTTAAACATCAGTGTTATTTACCTATCATTACCGTATGATTTTAGGGAAAAGTTATGGGTAGGGTTAGGTTTAGGGGTAGGGATTGGATAAGGACTACATTTTGGGACAGGAATGTTGATCCAGGATCAACAAAATATGTTGATCCAGGACGATGTCTTACTTGGCAAAATCACGGTGACCCCCCGTCACTATAGCATCAACATGTGAGTAGGATGTTAAAGTCAACATGCATCGCAGGTCACATCCCATTTTAATTCCCTAATCTAAGTGTTCAATAAGAAAACATGTAGGTTGGGACCTGATTTTATCCATCAAGAATTCATTGAGTGATTCAAATAGGGTGTAACATCCAAAATGGATAGAGGTGGTTGGAGGGGAAGGGCTAAAAAGTAATAGGAATGTGTGTCATCAGTAAAGGTGCAATTACATGAGTGAAATTTTGGCAAAAATTGGCGGACAAAAAAGGTCCATTCTCAATAGTGTGATGCAAGAAGCACTCATATCACAAAAGTCACTTTGACACCAAGCAGCTTTCTGTTTGCTCGATCATGCAGATTTCTTTTGAAATGCCTTTATTTCTATTGAAATGCCTTTGCCTGCACAATTTTGCTACTGTAAATGTGAATGCACCTTAATAATGATGACAGCATATACTGTAATAAATCCTAAGAAGGTTGCAGAAGAAGTTACTTATTTCTTATTTCTTATACTTAGTTCAACCTATTGACTTTTCAGCTTTTATTGTGCACTGTTTTGCAGACAATTTTTTGTGCACACACAATAACACTGCCAATTGCTCCATGTTAAACTGCAGTGGATCTGGGTCATGCTGTATTTATGTGGGCAGGGAGGCACATGTCGAAGAAACAAGTGCACAGTAATGCACTTCAGTGGGCTGAGGTCACTTCATCATTTATTCATGCCTATAACAGACTGTAAAATAAAGTGCTAGTAGCATTAGCCTTTTCGTGCTGATCTAGAAATGGCTATCTGCAAGCAGTGGGTGAGAGTGAGACCTAAAATGGGTTAAAAGCGCTAAACAAAACTAGAGAAGCCCTTACCCCCAGCAGGAGACTGATCACACTGCAGGCCCTGGAAACCTCCTGTCGGCATTTTCTGGACCAGACAAGAAGCTAGAATTTGATCCAGCTTTTCCAAGGAAGACACCTGAAAGGCCTTAATATAAACATAAGAAACATTATAAATCCTTTACAATTCTTGAAACCTGAAGAGCGTTACACTAGCATTAGTGCAAATATAATTCCCAAACACTCCCCAATTTTCCATTGGTCAGATAAACAGATGGCCCTGTCGCAAAGTCACTCCAGTAGTTGAACCAAAGCTAACACATTGGCTGCTCAAACAAACAACAAGTTTTGATAGCACCACATGCCCACTTTTCAGGGGAATCAACATGTATTATGTCTCATTTACAGTTGTTTCTACATATTCAGCTGGGATACAAGGATGTATTTTAACATTGAAAAGTGATACACCGTTAAAATAAGATACACCTTTAAATTAAATCAGTTAAACTGTTAGAAATACAGTATTATACAGAATCAGAATACAGAATAAAAAAAAAATCAACCCAGAATACCAATAAACATAAGATAAAAATATAGTTAAAGATGACAGCCATCCATAATAAAGTTACTTCAATAAAGTAATAATAAATAAACCAATAAAGTCTAACATGCTTTACCACCCTTTAAAACTATTCAGAATGTGTCTCTATTGCATCCTTCTTATTTCTTACATGCAGTCAATTAGGAACATGGAAAAAGCGTATGGCTTAACCCCTATTATCTTGAAGATTGCAAAAGTAAAAAGGGAGGATAACCACTTACGTAAATACACCCTAGAGAAACTCACATAAGATTAGAGCTTTAAGGGATTAGAGCAGAAAATATAATACAGGACTGATAAAAGAAAAGATTGATGATGGATGGTGTTCAATATTTCTTAGATATTAAACTGTTTTCTAAAAAAAGAAAATGTAATAAACGAAGCATTAGAGCTGTCATTTAGCACTTTGTATACTAATTTGTACAAAATATATGTGGTCATGGGGCACAATAAACCATTTGCATGACTATAACATTGTATATTGTCTTGCCAGCAATAGTAAATGTTTATTTTAATTTGTTATGGAAATTGCCTCATTGGCCACTGACTGCAGACTGTAGCAACATTAAAGCCTGAACACCAGCAGTGGATGGCAATCAAGCTGAAAGTTTTCAGCTTTATGAATTATTTGCCACCTTTGCTTAACTATGGCTAAACCTAATTCATTCACAACTGTCCAAAGTATACTTCTCTAGTTCGTGTTCTGCGACGGTCCGCACAATGTCCACATGATGTCGTTTCTTTCATTTGGAGGGTCCGCGGATCCCCGCGTGAAGCCTACCCAAATACCAGTAGTACCTCATTGCAGTACACGAGATCCAGGGGGCGGAGTTGGATCCAGATCTAAGGGGTGGAGATGGGTAGCATTAGGGGTGGGGTTAGGGATCAGGGGGTGGGGATGGGTAGGATTAGGTATATGTAAGGTGGGAGGAGTTGGATCTGAATCCAACTCCTCCCCCTGGATTTCGTGTTCTGCAGTGAGGACCATCTTCCAAATACGCCGTTCCAAGAACAGTAAACAAAGCACCATATCCTTCTCCATCGTTTTTGTTTGATACCCAGCTATACCTCCCTTTGAAAATTATGACATGCACTCTTTGTTAGGCTGTCTTGCAGAGGGTAGATGCTGGCTGGCAGCTAATTTTCTTATTCGATGAATGAATCTAAAACAGAAATTTTAGTCTTTGGACCACCAGCATATATTATACAGATAATCAACAATCTGGGTCCTTTATCTGTGAATTCTCATGCTCATGCTAGAAATTTGGGAGTGATTTTTGATAACGTCCAGAACTCGATAAACAAATCAATTCAGTGGTGAAGAGTGGCTTTTATCATCTCAGATCCATTGCAAAATTTAAAGTGTTTTTATCAGTAAAGGATTTGGAGACAGTGAATCATGCTTTTGTTTGCTCTAGGCTGTAACTCACTGTACTTTAAAGGTGCTCTAAGCGATGTCACGAGTTTTTTAGGCCAAAACTTTTTTTGTCACATACAGCAAACATCTCCTCACTATCCGCTAGCTGCCTGTCCCCTGAACACACTGTAAAAAACGCGGTCTCTGCAGACACCCCAGGCTCCACAAACGGCAACAAAAACAAACTGCGGCGACCCGCACCACGAAACATAACAAACTGTTCCAGCCAATGACCGACAAGAAGGGTTTGGGGGTGTGGTTTGGGGGGTTAGTGTGCGGATGAGGAGGAGGGAGGGTCTAGCTAGCCTCCGTTTTGTTTGACAATATTTCGAACGTCAACAAGAAGTGACGTCACCCAGGATCGCTTAGAGAACCTTTAATGTGGCAGTCCTTCAGTTTGCCTTCAAATGGTACAAAATGCTTCTTCTAGGCTTCTTACTGGAATTAGAAAAAGGAAACATATTTATCCTGTTCTGGCTTCATTACACAGGTTGCCGGTTAAATATTATGTTAAATTTAAGGTTTTATTATATGTGTATAAGGGGTTAAATGGCCCGGCCCCACAATATATTACAGATTTCCTTCTCCACCTTCCTTAAGATCTTCAAATAGGTTGATGCTGACCGTGCCAAGGTCTTGTTTGAAGTTAAAAGGTGATTGTGCCTTTTCTGTTGCTGCTCCACGCCTGTGGAATGATTTGCAAGTAGCCTATGCATTCTGTCGTCTTCTGATGTTGACAGTTTTATGTATTTTATTGTTTTATTTTGTCATATTGTATAGCACTTTAGTCAGCACTGCCTGATTTTAAATGTGCTTTAGAAATAAATGTACCTTGCCTTGTTTTGGTTCTTGTTCTTAACTTTGCATGCAATAGACCTTATTCACAGCAGCGCCATTTTTAATGGTAATGAAAGCGAGGCTGTGAAGAATAGACATGCATCTCGTCAGTGGGTTGTACAGTTTTTGGTGTTTTTGGATTGTTCTGCAGATGAAACACTGCAAAAATATCTTTCCAATAAATTTCAGTAGACAAAAAAACTCTCGACGTGTAAAATTATAAATGATCTAGGAGCTTTTTTTTACAGCTTTTTACAATGGATGCCATTGAAAATACACTAAGTCTATCCCTAACAGCCTTGCTTAAATACCTGTCATGGCGCTGCTCTGAAAAAGGTCTATGGCTGTGTCATGAGTGATTCACTACTTTTTGTCTTCAATCCTTTCGCGCAAATGTCCTGTTACTGACGTGACTCAGTGCTGCCCTCTGACGTCTGGAAGAGTATAAATACCAATTGCACTGCACATGTATCGAACTTGTCCATCCACGCTCATTCGCAGTTGAGTATACTTTTAAAGCTGTGCATACATGACTGTGCGCAAGACGGAGAGGAATGCGGAAAATGAAGTATTCCTGGGCCTTAAGCATGTGGGTTAAAGCTTAATTACAGATTAAAAGCCTATTTACACCAAGACACAACAGACATGTGGTTACCTGGCACATAAACTTCACAGGATCTGCAGCCTGCTGGAGGAATTGGGCAATATCTCCCATGATGGTGTAGTATTGTAAGCAGGCATTGCCTTTAACCTGGCCTTTACTGTAAAGTGTCACAATCACCTCTCCAGTAGTAAAATCTGCAAACACAGATTATTTTACCACCAAATAATAATAGTATGAATACTATAGCGTTTCATTAATGATCAAAACTTCATCAAAACATGAAAAGTAATTTACTCACCATCATGTCATTAACATATTGGTCATTCTTTTCAGTAAAATTAAAATGAATAGGAACTGGCTTTAGATTTGTGCCGTGTGAGTCATATGACAGTTCTACTTTTTTTTCCCAAAGCTCGAAAGCTTTATTTCCAATTCATTGTAATTGCACGGAAAAGAACGAGAACAAGAAAGTCATACACGTCTGTAAATACTGCCAGTTTTCATTTTGTGTCATCCATTGCTTTAGAATGCCAAGTCAAGTCAAATTTATTTGTATAGCGTTTTTTACAATACTCGTTGTTTCAAAGCGGCTTTACAGAAAATCATGTTAAAATTTATAATATATGATTTTTTCCATGTAGCATAGTCATATTGTTTACACCCTTTCATCAAAAAAAAAAATGCCTTAAACATATGTAGGCCATTTTACCAGGTGCAGTGACACTCAGTGTGCTCTCATTCCAATTCACAGGCTTCACTCTCACTCTCTGCTTGTTCCCACTGAACTCAACCTCTGCATCTTTGCTGGCCATGATCTCCTGCAGAAGAATGAATATCTTCCCTGGATTCTGTTAAGACACAGAGCATGGCAATATTCAGTCTAACCTACTTTGTGAAAAGCTCTATCTCAGTTAGATGCCAGTGTTAAGCATTCGCAAAGAGAGTGCTCTGTGATCTCCTGCTCTATATGCCCTTGACTAATAGACTGGCTATGAATGACTTGTAAGATACATAATAGCAACATTTCTCGAAAATCACAACCAAGCATTTTTTAACGTGTTCAAGATTCATATATACAAAACTGCTAATGCAGTTTTATTATGGTTACCTGTAAATGTAAATGCTTAAAGGGATAGTTCACCCAAAAATTCAAATTCTATCATCTCAGATGATAGAATTCTCTAATCAGAGAATTCTCTGATGATAGAATTCTCTAATCACCCTCATGTCATTCCAAACTCACAAGACTTTCATCTTCGAAACAAAAATAGATATATTTTTAAAGTGACCTGAGAGATTTCTGTATATTAAAAGTCCAGTCCATCCAAACTTTCAAGCTTCAAAAACTGCATAAAGACATTGTGAAGAAAGAAATTTTCTTCTGAAGAGACACGATCACTTTGTATAATTAAAGTGTTTAATTTAGCCTTTTATTCACATATATTCATCAACACAAATACATAGAGCACAACAAATACAATCGCTGCATCCGAATATGCTTACTTTCATACTATATAGTAGGTGAAAAACAGTAGTATGTCCGAAGTTCATAAAACAGTAGGTGAAAAGTACCCGGATGACCTACTACTTCTGGCAAGATTCTGAGTGCTCATTCAATGGACACATTACTATCCCATGAGGCCACGGGAGAGGATTTGTGAATGGAGGTGAAGCGAAACAACTGACGCAGCAGGTCACATCTCAATGAAAACATGGCAGATGAAGTATGTCCGAAATTCATTCATACTACACATTCATAATATATAGAACATGCTTTTTTAACGGTCACTAAGCAAGTTTCAAACCAAATGTAGCACTTACTATGAAGTTTGTGACTTCATATGCAGCAAATGTCTTTATTAACTTTATGAAGCTTGAGAAATATAAAATATCTCAGGTTTCATAATAAATGTCTTCATTTCTGTTTTGATGATAGACGAAAGAATTATGGGTTTGGACAACATGAGGGTTAGTACTTGAGGGCAAATTTTTCTTTTTTGGGTGAACCATCGCTTTAAGTAGCTGAAGATATTTCAGGATTCAGAGAACTGTCCATAAGAAGGTGAAGAAAAAAAAGTAACACACAAAAAAACTTTGTGTTGTGTCTTACCTCACATGGTACACGGCTGGGTAGGACCAATAAAGTCTTATTAGCGACAAGAGCACCACTAGACAGTTTCTTCTCTACTTTCAACTCCTGGACTGATCTTCCATCCACTGCTGCTGTCTGTACACCTGGAGAAGCATGCCGTGTGAATGAACAACTGATGATATAAACTGTGAGGAAATATAAAGATGCTCACAGAGAAAGGACTGATATCTCTTACACATTTACTGCACATTTTTTCCCTCTGTGGCAGGTTATGAAATTAATTTCTGTTTTTGAACACATTGCCTTACATCAAGACTTACTGCGTTCCAGACTTACTGAAATGGTGTTTTGGTTGGCTTGCCAACAAGCTCTATCAAATACTTACAACAAAGAATTGAGCCGTATAGAATGTGACTTGTTCTACACTGCGGAATCAAATTATTCCATAATTTAAAGTTTCTATGAAAAAAAAAGTTATATTTAAAATTAAAATATTTATTATAAATGATTTGTCTTTGCACATTATTATTTTAAAATTCATGTGCACTCATTATTTTGAATCAAAATAACGTGGGAACGCAAATATCTTTGCGAGGGAACGCAAAAGTTTTGCTTGGGAACGCAAAAGTTTTGCTTGGGAACGCAAAAGTTTTGCTTGGGAACGCAAATAACTTTGCGAGGGAACGCAAAAGTTTTGCGTGGGAACGCAAATATCTTTGTGAAGGAACGCACAAGTTTTGCGAGGGAACACAAAGTTTCTCGAGGGAACGTAAAATATTTGAAAAAAAAAGTTTTTTAAATGTTTTCCACCACCCTTTAGGGGCTCCGTAGATATATGTCACAATAGGGACAAAAAGACTACCCAACTTCCATTTCATGTTGACTTTAAATCTCCTCACTAGTGACCTCTTATTCATTTTAAAATGTATTTATGGGGTTCCCCCATACCTCAGCAAAATGATTATTATATACAGTAAACTCTAAGCTAGATCATTCACATTGTCACATTGTGTCTTTTGTTTTGTATGGACTTCTTTGTCCGTTCTCGTGGTTTTTGTGCACCCTCCCTGCTTTTGGTTTCTGTATGTCCCTTTCGAAAGGGAATGGTATAGGGAATGACTGGTGTCTAAAGCATGAGTCTAAACACGACAATGAACTTGACATTGGCGGGGGGCAGCCTATGACGTCACAACTAGTGTGACCGTGTGTATAAAAGAGCACCTGTTGAATACGTCATCGTCTTTCTCGCCTTCATGAGACTGTTTGTTTGTAAATGAGCGAGGAGCACACACTTTTAGCTCTTGAAGGAACTAAATGTGCGCATTGTGAGGATTTCTCTATGAAAATCTCAGTTCGCGCTGTCCCTATTCTTGAGGGATGTAGGGCACGCATTTGAGTGAAAGCTGTCAACACTTCAAAGAAGCTGAATGCGTTTGGTATGATGCATTCACTAAACTGACAAGTGACAGGTAAGGAGGTGTTTTACTTTCTGCTCTTTCCTGAGGGATAGTAGTTGGCATTTGCACGACCGCGTTCTAAGGCACTCATAGTGATGCGTTCGTGTCTGTTCTCACTTTTCGCGATGCGGTCCCAGTAATTGGTTCCACCTAGGCTTGACTTTCCCGAGGGATGATAGTTGAGCGCCTGCAATGTCCAGTTCGGATCTCGCGGCCGACATTACGGTGACGCGGGCTTAAGCGCGGGGTTGTAGGCAGAGCACGGACGTGTCAAACAGGAAGTTTCATTTTTGTCTCTCTCCTGTTGTTGGTTCAAATAATACTATTGATCTATGCATGTATCTAATTCTGAGGAATTAGAGACAGAAGAGTGTAGTAATTGTTATTTGTAGCAAGGTTAGTTGTTGTGGGATAAAGGAGGCAGGAACCGGCGAACATTCAAGAAAACGTTCCTCTCTTGTCCTTCACGATCGTCGCTCCTCCTTTTATCCTTCCGCTCCTCCGTGAGAGATACGAGACCGGTGCATTGCGAAGGTGTCGCTCATCAGTAATCACGCCACCGGCCTTGCACCGTTCTCTCATGGCCCTTGGCCTCGTCCTGCTCGCCACATTATTATTATAACAATAAGGGAGTTTTGCATGAGATAGACTTTATGTAAAACATTTCTGTCTGCACAAAACTGCCCCGCTCCTGTGGATCATCGAGCTCTGTCTGGATAGCAGTATCGAGTCGTTAGGCATTCTGTAAGCCTCCTTGGTAAGCTGTCCTGAGCGTAGGACGTTGTAAGGCCGCCTCTCGCTTTAGAGAGTTCTTTTGAGTCTTCCGCTCCCTAGAGCTCTGCCCAGACAGTGAGTCTGGGAAGCAGTATCAAGTTTCTAGGCACTCTTTGCGCCTCCTTGATGGCTATTCTTAGCATTGGGCATAGTAGACCGCATCTCGCTGTGGAGAGTTGTCATGCTAAGACCTCTGTCCTTAGAGCTCTACTACGCAGTAGTGTCAAATTGTTAGGCTCTCCTGAGCCGGTTTCGCTACTGCCTTTAAATGTTGCTAGGCCTTCATCCTTCGAGCCCTCCACTCCTTAGAGCCGCTTGAATAGCCATTCCAAATTGTAGGCTCTCTGTGAGACTCCTTGGAAGCTGTCCTGAGCGTGGAACGTTGTTAGGCCTCCTCTCGCTCCACTGAGCTCTGCCCGATATTGTGTCAAGCTGCTGGCCCTATTATGTAGCTGCCTTGACAGGCGTAGGACTTAGTGCTGAGGCCTCTGTCCCATGAGCTCAGCCAGGGGCCAAGTTACTAGGCTCTCTGTGAGCATCCTTGGCTAATGCACCTAAACCGGAGCGTTTGCTAGGCCTCCTCTCGCTATAGAGTGTTATCCTGCTGAGGTCTCCGCTCCCCAGAGCTCCACCTGTATGGCAGTCCTGAGTTGTTAGGCTCTAGGAGAGCCTCCTTGAAAGCTGTCCTGAGTGTGGAATATCCTCTCACTTTAGAGTCGTCATGCTGAGGCCTCCATTCTTAGAGCTCGACCAGGCGGTACTACTGAGTCGTTAGGCTGCCCCTTAGCCTCCTTGGTTACTGCCTGTACTATGGAGCATTTTTAGGCCTCCTCTCACTATAGAGACACTTTATAGAGGTCTCTGCTTTGGGTCAGTTAGACTTAGTTCTTTAGCTCTTTCTGAGCTTTCTTTGTACTGCCCTTGGGTTAGAGAGTTGCTATGCCTCTTGTCTGAGGCCTACACTCTTTAGGGCTGTCTCAGAATGTCTGAGTGTTAGGCTCTCTGTGAGCCTCCTTGGACGCTGGCCTGAATATGAACGAAGTTAGGCTTCCTCTCTTTATAGTCATCCTGTTGAGAGCTTCGTTCTTGAGAAGCTGCGGTCTATGACTGTGCTGCTGGTATGCACCTTAGGGGTGAGGACTCTTCTGAGTCCTTCAACTTAGCTCAGCCAATAGGGCACTCATCCTTTGTCTTTAGCTATTTCTGTCCAGAGACTCTTATGTTGAAGTTTTCTGTTCCTGTAATATCCGAGTTCCAGCATCTTGTTTATTTCCTATTTCCTGTGTTACCTTGGTAACTAATAATGTGTCCATTGCTATAGTTACTAATTTGGATTTCACCTGTGTCTTATTTAGTTCATTTTTACCCTGTGTATTTATACTTCTCAGTTTCCTCATGTGACAGGTTGATAATCTCTAATAATTGTTTTGGCTCTTGGCTCATTAACCATTTTTAATGGTTGCGTATATCTCAAATGGGAAGACACACCCACTGGCGTTGACATTTATGCACACCTCTGCGGCTCAATCATGGAGGTGTGGTAAGTTCTAGTGGCTTTATAAAAAGCATGTCTATGTGCGGTGTTGTCATTCTTCTCCGTGCTGTGTGTAGTAAAAGGCTCTTCGTTTATATTTCCTGTTGCTTTTCCTTGGTGAGTCGTTTGATTTATTGCTCTTTCTCACACTCACAGATCACGGTCTAAATATATGTTTGTCATTGGGAATGTGTGTGTGCGTGAAGTGGCGAGCGCAGGTAGCATAAAGCTCACTGTTGTCTATGAATCTCACCTACGAGGTAAAAAACGTTTGTAGAGACTTGGATAAATGTTTGGGTTTCTAAATAACTGTCGGGGTTTTTTTAAATGAGAAGAGAATTTTATTATTTGTATTTGGGTCTGAATAGATGCATACATATGCAAACAAAGTGTTGATGGACTTGGTTTTTTTTTTTCATGTTCATATTTGAGACATGTTTATAAAAGGTTTTTTTCAAATGTGTGTGTAAGGGAAAACAAATCATTCAATGGGTGCATTTTATTGTGTTTTCTGAGAGCGTCACTCTGACGATGAGAACTGTGTACTTTGACCTCTGAAGTTCAAGGGGCAAGGGAAAAAAAATGAGGAGTCAGGAAGTTCGGCGCTGAGAAAGCGGACAGCAGTAAACGTTCACAGACATTTTGAGTGGCAGCTGGTGTGACGAGAGTTTGCGGCGGGAGTATGGTGTGAACTGGGAGAAGTTCACGCATAAGATTCGGTTTGCAGCACGGAAAAAGACAACATTGCGAGAGAGTCTGATGAGAGACTGCGCACTTCAGTTTCGCGTGAGTCAGATAGACGGAGGAGACCTAGCACGAGGATCCCATGTGAGAGAATCTGTTTTTTCTTTTATCATCACGTTTATCTGTTTTATTAGTTTTAGATCGTGAAACCCGGAAGAATATTCCCGTGTTTATTTTCTCAAGTTCAGTGATGCAGTTTAAGTTATAATAACTTAGTAGGCTAATTTGTTTGAAATCCGGAAGAATATATACCTGTGTTTATTTGGTTAATTTTGGATAAAAGTATCGCAGTGGTGTAGGCAGTTGGGAGTTCATGTCAAGTGCATGTTTTTTTTTTCTTTACCACTGAGAGATCGTCGAAATCGGGAGGTCTGTGTTGATTTTCGCGGATCCTTTTAACCAGTTCGAGGAGGGAGGAGTTCATCGACATCCACTCAACATCGTTGTGGGTTGCTTCACGGATGCTGTTTGTCATCTCGTTGGGGAGTGAAGAGTGTGGATGACTATTCACCAATTGGAATTTTTGGTTTTCTCTGATTCGTGAGTACACTGGTTTTGCATCCAAGAGCTCCAACTAGCGCGCCATCTGTGTACTGAAAAATACCAGCTGCGTAAATTTTGAGTATTACATTGACATTTGGGTTTTTTTGTGGGTTATGGTGATGATTGGGATTCATGGCTGTTGGGTTGTGACTTTGTGAATTCAATTATTTGTTCATTCAAAGAGGAAAAACAAACAAAACAAAAGAGTGCTGAAAGGAATAAATACACATTTATTAATCTGTCATAATTTTGTGTGATTTTGTTCATTTGTTTGTTTCTTTGAGGCATTTGTATTTTCAAATCTAAAGAAACATAAATCTGACACTATCTATCAGGTGAAGATCTGAGATCTGGGTTATATGTGTTGATACTGTAACTGAAGGGAAATGTGCCTTTACCGGGGTAGTGGGTAAATTTAAGATCCCCTCGACAGATTACTACCTTGTGAGCCACAAGATTCTACCCGGCGGGAGGGCTACATTTTGTGGGGGCTCGTCCGGGATTAGTCAGATTATTCAGATTGTGTTTCAGAAACAGTGAACTTGTGTGTTCTTTGAAAACAAAATTGTGATTTTTTTTTTTTTTGGAAGTGATTTATGTGTATATTGTTTCTTTGAGAACTCTGTGAAGAAAACTTTAATGTTTAACATTCATAACCTTTTTTTTTTCCTGAGCACATACTGTTGAGGACACAGGTGAACAAAATGGAGGTTAGTGAGATTATTGATTGGTGCAGAGAGAAAGGTGTTGAGTTGGACAGGGTTATCATTCTGAGCAACGTACCTGCAGATTGTGAAGACAGAGTAGTTTATGGAGTGCTGGATGCTGCTCTGGGAATGAGGAAATGCAAAGTGATTGGTCGCCTCTTTGATAAGACTAAGCGACAGCAGTTTCTTCTGATTGAGACAGTTAGCAAGGTTTCTGAGATGTCTATACCGGCAGAGCTCGGAGGACCTGAAGTAGGTACCTGGTACACACAGGTTGTGCATGTTGCAGCTGAAGCATCTAAACACAGTAAGGAAGATGAGTTTCAGACTAAGCTGATGTCTTTTCTTCAAGCAGAGGGAAAGTCGCTATCTGACATTCCAAGTCTGGCTTCCTCTACACCTGTGCTTGACACTAAACTGGTTGATGCCATAAACTCCCTTGTTTAAACATGTCATGTGGCTTCATCTGAGGAGAGAGCTGGATATAGGAAGTTGCGTCCCTTCTCTGGGTTCATTCCCACTCCCCATGGAGAGGATGAGTATGAGGTCTGGGTGGAGCAGACTACTCACATTCTGGAAGCGTGGCAGTGTTCGGATAATGTCAAAAAGCAGAGACTAGTAGAGTGTCTCAGAGGTCCTGCAGCGGACATTGTAAGGTTCGAAAAGACCGGTAACCCATCTGCTGCTTTCAGTGACTACCTCAGTGCGTTAGAGTCAGCGTTTGGCACCACTGAGGATGCTGCAGATTTGATGTTAAAATTTAGGAGCACTTACCAGAGTGAGGGAGAGAAGCTCTCAGCCTACATAATGAGGTTGGATAGGATGCTACACAGTATGCTGAGGAAAAGAGGCATTGAGTTCCCTGCAATGAATCGTCTTCGGATGCAGCAAATAGTTAGAGGTGCTCTTTCAAGTGACCTGGTGGCAATGCGCTTGAGGATGACCCATAAGCTGTGTGCCACTCCTTCCTTCAATGAGCTAATGAAAGAGGTGCGAGAAGAAGAGAGCATGTTGAAACAAAGGAGCTCAGTGCATGCAAATGTAGCTGTGTCTGGGGTGCCCCCTGCAAAGACTGAGTCATCTGGTAACACCAATCTGGCCAATTCAGAAGTAGAAATGCTGAAGAGGGAGATTAGGGGGTTGAAGAACGAGGTGTCTCGCTTGTCAGCTGTGGCGAAAGAACCAGCAACTTATGATCGTTCCGTTACGTACAGTTTAGCTGCGTTTGCTGAGAGCAAAACACCAAACAGACCAGTGAACAAGGCTAACATTTTGTGTTACAGATGTGGAGAAGATGGGCATCTGAAACGTGACTGTACAAAGGAAGAGAATCTCAGGAGAGTAAACCAGCGGCTCATCAGAATGAGACAGCCGTCGGGAAATGCCTCCGGGGCTCAGTAGAGGAATGGCCTGAAGCTCCGGGGAAGACACGTTCCACAAAGTGCAAAAGAGCAAGAGCAAGAGCTGAGCAAATAGATCTTCCGAGCGGGTTAGTGGGACCTAGCTCTGTCCTTCCCATCCAGCTGGAAGGTATCTACACTAAGGCTTTGCTGGAAAGTGGATCGCAGGTCACGCTGTTATATAGATCCTTCTATGAGAAACACTTGAAGCATCTGCCATTGACACCAATTGAAAATTTGGAGATATGGGGATTAAGCTCGGAGAGATACCCTTATGATGGCTGCTTGTCTCTAAGGCTGGAGTTTCCAGGATCTGTGGCAGGAGTGGTGGAATCCATAGATGCACTTGTGTTGGTCTGTCCCGATCCTGTCATGAAAGGAGATGTCAACATTCTGGTGGGAACAAACACGGCTGTGGTAAAGAAGCTGGTAGAAGTTTGCAAGACGAAGATGGGAAATGATTTCCTTCATCCCCTGACTGTTCATCCTGAGATCAGAACTGCCTATGAGCGGGTGATTGCTGTTAGTAAGTGTGATGTTGACGACTGTAGAGGGACCGTCTGGTTTCCCCGCCTTAAGCCGTTGAAGTTGACTCCGGGAGAGAGTGTAAGGGTTTCTGAAATTCTGAAATACCCAGTCACATCATCTGCTAAAACCCTGTTAGTGGATCAGCCTGAGGAGTCCCGTTTTCCTGAGGAACTGCTAGTGAGAGCTGAGGTGCAGTCTGCTACTGTTGTCCAGTCAAAAAGAATTGGAGTCACTATTAGGAATGTCTCTTCTTGTCCAGTGACGATTAAGAGAGGAATGCCTATCGCCCATGTGTTTCCGGTTGACGTTGTGCCTACTGTCTCTAAACCCAGAGAGAGTAGTGGTCAAGGCAAACTGACCAAGGATTCATTTAATTTTGGCGATACATCGGTCTCTGTAGAATGGAAACAACGGCTGGCCAAAAAGATGTTGGAGAGAAAGGATGTTTTCTCCTGCGATGAATTTGATGTGGGATGTTCGAAGATTACTCAACACCACATCAGACTGACAGAGGATAAGCCTTTTCGTGAGAGGTCACGGCGGCTTGCACCAGCCGACATCGAGGATGTTAGGCAACACTTGGAGAAGCTGAAAGAGGCTGGAATTATTGCAGACTCCAGAAGCCCCTATGCTTCACCGATCGTCGTAGTCCGAAAAAAGAATGGACAGAGAAGGCAAGGCAAGTTTATTTATATAGCACATTTCATACACAATGGTAATTCAAAGTGCTTTACATAGGAGAAAATAAAATAATCAAAACAAATAAGAATAATTAAAACAGTTTAGAATAAAAAATAAAATAAAGTACAGTAAAAACAGTCGGACGAACAGTGGCACAGTGCTCATTCAGTAATTGCATAGCTAAACAGATGTGTTTTGAGTCTGGATTTGAATGTGACTACTGTAGGAGCACATCTGATCTCCTCTGGAAGCTGGTTCCAGCTGCGGCTGGCATGATAGCTAAAAGCGGACTCGCCATACTTAGAGTGAACCCTTGGTATTTCTAGCTGATGTGATCCTAATGATCTGAGTGATCTGTTTGGTTTATATTTAGTGAGCATATCTGCAATATATTGAGGTCCTAGGCCATTGAATGATTTATATACCAGTAATAATACTTTAAAATCAATCCTAAATGTAACTGGGAGCCAGTGTAAAGACCTGAGGACTGGTGTGATATGTTCATATTTTCTGGTCCTGCTCAGAATCCTGGCAGCAGCGTTCTGGATGAGCTGCAACTGTCTTATGGTCTTTTTAGGAAGGCCAGTGAGGAGTCCATTACAATAATCCACCCTGCTGGTGATGAAAGCATGCACAAGTTTCTCTAAGTCTTGACTGGAAACAAAGCATCTAATTCTTGCAATATTTTTCAAATGATAGTATGCTGATTTAGTTATTGCTTTGACATGACTACTGAAACTAAGGTCTGAGTCTAGAGACACACCAAGATTCCTGACTTGATTTTTAGTTGTTAGACCCCTAGAGTCAAGGTATGCATTCACCTTGAGAACTTCATCTTTGTTTCCAAACGCAATGACTTCAGTTTTGTCTTTGTTTAACTGAAGAAAGTTTTGGCACATCCAACTGTTTACTTCATCAATGCATTGGCACAGGGAGTCAATGGGGCTGTAGTCGTTAGGCGATAGGGCTAAGTAGATCTGTGTGTCGTCTGCATAGCTGTGGTAAGAGATTCGGTTCTCTCTCATTATTTGGCTCATTGGGAGCATATACAGGTTGAATAGGAGTGGTGCAAGAATTGAGCCTTGGGGGACTCCGCATGTCATGGATGTCCAGTCAGACTTATGGTCTCCTATACTCACATAATAACCTCTCCCTTCTAAGTATGACCTGAACCATTTTAGGACTATACCAGAAAGCCCCACCCAGTTTTCCAGCCTGTCAAGAAGTATGTTGTGATCGACAGTGTCAAATGCAGCACTGAGGTCGAGTAGTACCAGCACTGATAATTTGCCTGTATCAGTATTTAAGCGAATATCGTTTATTATCTTTATGAGCGCTGTCTCTGTGCTGTGATGCGATCGGAAACCAGATTGAAAATTGTCAAAGTATCCATTCAAGATAAGGATGTGTGTGGACTACAGAACGTTGAATCGTCGCACAATCCCTGACCAATACACCGTTCCACGCATTGAAGATGCTCTGGCCTGCTTAAATGGAAGCCAGTGGTTCAGTGTATTGGACCTTAGAAGTGGATATTATCAGATCCCCCTGTGTGAAGACGACCAAGAAAAGACAGCTTTCATTTGCCCAGTGGGGTTTTACCAATTCCAGCGGATGCCACAAGGGATTTGTGGAGCTCCTTCAACTTTCCAGCGAGTGATGGAAAAGACGGTGGGAGACATGAACCTGTTGGAAGTGTTGGTCTACTTGGATGACCTCATTATCTTTGGACGGACTTTGGAGGAGCATAAGGAGAGGCTTCTCAAGGTGTTGGACCGCTTGCAGAGCGAAGGGTTGAAGTTGTCTCTGGACAAGTGCACCTTTTGTCAGACTTCTGTCAGCTATGTTGGTCACATCATGTCTCAAGACGGTGTCTCGACTGATCCCTCCAAAATTGAAGCTGTCAAGTCTTGGCCCAGACCCCAGAACGTGACAGAGTTACGTTCTTTCTTAGGTTTTTGTGGGTACTACAGAAGGTTTGTTAAAGACTATTCTAAAGTGTCTTACCCACTCAACCAGTTGCTGCAAGGGTGTCTTCCTAACAAGAGTTTGAAGAAAATCAAGGCTGGAGACAACCCAGATAGAGTTGTATATAAAACCTCGGATCCATTTGGTAGTAGATCGACTGATGCCTGTGAAGCTGCTTTCAATGAGTTGAAGTTGAAACTTACCCAGGCTCCTGTGTTGGTCTTTGCCAATGCTCGGCTCCCGTACGTCTTACATGTTGATGCCTGCTGTGAAGGGTTGGGCGGGGTGCTGTATCAGGACCAAGGGCAGGGATTGAAGCCTGTAGCGTTTGTCAGCAGAAGCTTGACGCCTTCTGAAAAGAACTACCCAGTCCATAAACTTGAGTATTTGGCGTTAAAGTAGGCTGTTGTTGACAAGCTACATGATTACCTGTACGGAGCAAAGTTTGAAGTGCAGACGGACAACAATCCGCTATCTTATGTTCTGACCACAGCCAAACGGGATGCTACGGGACATAGGTGGCTGGCGGCCCTCTCAGCATATGATTTCAGTCTCAAGTACAGGCCTGGGAGACAAAATGTCGATGCGGATGCTTTGTCTCGTCGTCCTCATAGAAGAGTGAAGGACCAGGAGTGGACCAATATCTCATCATCTGGAGTAAGATCTCTGTGTAAGCTATCAGGACAAGACAAATCCAACTGCTTCGCAACTGCCAGCAGGGTTGTCACGTCATTAGGAGGATCTCCTAAATCAGTCCCTAGAGCTTACTGTAACTTAGCCACTCTGGATACTTCCATGATTCCAAAACTGAGTTCTGCAGATCTGTTATATGCTCAGCAGGGGGATCCTTGTCTTGGAGAGATATGGAGAGCTCTAAAAGGAGGAGATCTTACCCAGGTAAAGAAGGAAGCTTGTATTGCGTGTACAATAGCAGCCTGAACGAAGCCACAGGATACTCGCCCTACTTCCTTATGTTCGGAAGGGAAGCCAGATTGCCCATAGATTTGAGTT